TATATATATATATATATATATATATGAATAAAATAGACAATCGGAGAATAGTACTTCGTCCTTGTCGACGCATTTTGTCCTTTTACTTTATGAAGGCAAATGACGATAAACAAAACCAAAATGTGTAAGTGCATGAAATTCAAAATTTTTAAAAAGACGCTTCTGTGTGAGTCTCTTCTTGGATATTATTAACTTTTTTCTTTTTTTTTTTTGTTTTTTGACTAACCATTATATATAACTATTTTACATCAGAAATATCTGTTTCAGAACTTTAAGTTTGTTTCATTTCTCAAGCGATGTTAGGTAGCTTTTTCGAAAACAATAATAATGCTTCCGTCCATATCATCTGCGTTTTCATACGTGTTTTTTATACTTGGGTTTGGCACTGCAGCTAAAACTGGGAGGAAAAAATGAAACAGACGATTGATTTCGAAAACTAATTTACGAATATATTAGTTATTGTCATTACTGTATTAATCTTAGATTTCTTTCTATCCACCTTATTTCGCACATACACCTACACACATACACACATGTGTGTGTTTGTTTTTATCGCGTTCTTAAAGCCTTCCCTTTTTTATATATAGACGCCATTTTGATACGAATAATTATAGTGCAATCAATACAGTAAGGATAAAATATTTTAGGCCACAGAATGCTACAAAGTTTATATTTCTATCATTGTATTTAAGATACGATTGTACAATAGCAAAGAATGGTTTTGTGTAAATTTATAGATACGCCGATTGATCAGAATATTAGTTGTTCCACTATGAGTTCTATGACTGACTTCTCAAGGAGGAAAATTCTTGATAATTGTGGATTGAGGAGGCAATCCCTTATTTGTGACACTGTTAGGAAGTGCCTGAAAAAAATATCACGAGTTGACCCCGAAAACATTGATAGGTAAAATAGGCAAACGAAACTGTTCGGAGGCCATCGATTAAAGTATTAACACAAATCTATAAATCATGCTGACCGTGTTCAATTACGCCATACGTCCTCTCTCCGGCAGCTTATAATTAAGTTCTTCTCGATATAAACCGTAGATTGGCTCTGTGTATTTTAAATAAATACAGTTGCGATGAAGCATGCGCCTTCATCAGGGATTAATTGGCTAGTTTATTTTCTGGTGTACTCGGAAACGAACAACCATCATTATTATTATTATTATTATTATAATTATTATTATCACCGTCCTCATCGTCATTATTCTTCTCATCATCATCATTATTATTATCATCATCATCATTATTATTATTATTATCGTCATTATTCTTATCATCATCATCATCATCATATTATTATTATTATTATCATCATCATTATTATTATTATTATTATTATCATTATCATCATCATCATCATTAATATCATCATCATTATTATTATTATTATTATTAAGTTATGCGAAGCGACAAAATTTGAACAAATGAGTAAACATCAGCATTTTATTTCAAGAATTTCTTTTGGGTCGACATTCGTATGCGTGCGACTATCTCTCTGTGTGTATGTGTGTATATGTGTGTGTATGTGACTAAACATCATAATTCTTGTCAAGGGCTTCTTGCTCTCATGAATGCGCCTCTTTGCTCGTGCATATGTGTACATATGTGTGTGTTTGTGTGCGCCTGCGCGTGTGTGCACGTGTGTGTCTGCGTGTGATTAAATAACAGACTTTTTTCAATGGTTTCTTTTTCTGGTAGAGATTCGTATGCATGTGTCTGTATGTGTACGTGTACGTGAGTATGTGTGTGTCCCTGTTTGCGTGTGTACGTGTATGTGTTTGTACTTGTGTGTGTGTCTGCGTGAATATATCTATAAGTTACAGAGTATCTTTTCAAAGACGACTTTTTAATCGAAAGCAAACATTCGTTCTTTCAATCTTTAAGTTATTAGTTTGATTTGTCCATGCTTAAAAATGATTTTTTTTATTCTCTTGATGTATTTTTTTTCTCGATTTCCCCTTCCGATTTGGCTCAGTTTCTTGAGTTTAAATATTCAACTTTGTGGTTTATGGTGGATTCTGTTTTCTCTCTTTCGATTTTAAATCAAAGCAGGGCTCCACACTCTCATCAAAATCATTGGTGCACACATGACTTATTTTAAGCGCGTATTTTGTAATTATTACCCGCCATTTTGTCCAGCAACTCAACATTGAGTGTCTTAATGCCGTTCGATTTTTTTAATCGACCACAACAGAAGAGAGAAAAATAAATAGAAACGGTGAGGGGTTAGAGTTGGAAATTAATCATTTAATGTATACGTGTGCATGTTTGAGAGAATCATTTCTTGTCTCTCTGTATAAATCCAGTTTAATTTGTGTCAGCAACTATGCTTGTCAGTATTTCGACGTCTATATTAATCGATGCGTTTTCTTCCCAGTTCGCTTCAGGAATAAAACTTAGAATGTCTAAGTAATCCCAATATTTTTTATACGTTTTCACGCGTGCTGATAACCACGTTTCGTCACGTTCACCTGAAATTCTGAAGTTTTGCT